GCAGATATGCAGCGTGTTTCTCCTGACACTGAAAAACAACATTGGTTAAAAAATGGGGCACAGGTCAATGCTTCTAACATCTACTCCTGACCCCTAGGAAAGCCTATCCTTCCAAAGAACTTATTTACGTATGCCGCTCTTTTGAGCCATGGCCCTTGCCATGTCTCAACAGGAGGGATGGTGCATACCATAAATCAAGTGTTCACAGCTTATGGGTTTACAAATTACTCAAAAACTTTTTGTCTAGCATGTGAGCAATTTCCAAAACTACAATGGCCTTTTCAGCACATATGTATGGATTTCATAGAATTAAGTAAATGCGAAGGGAAAAAGTATTGCCTAGTAATTATAGATTCACTCACCAAATGGACTGAAATATTTCCCTGTGCTAATCCAGATGCATTAACTGTGGCAAAAGCATTAGTAAAAGAAATAATTCCTAGGTATGGGATTCCTCAGAGAATCTATAGCGATAATGGCACAGACTTTGTTAATAGCCTTATCACACATGTGGGTAAGGCCTTAAACATAGAACTAAAAAATCACTGTGCCTACCACCCCCAATCAGCGGGATTGGTAGAACGACACAATGGTATTATAAAAGCTAAATTGCGAAAGACAATGACAGAAACAGGAAAGAACTGGGTTTATTGTCTCCCACTAGTAATATTAAACATGCACATAATGCCAGGAGAAAATGGGCTAACTCCTTTTGAGATGATGTATGGGAGGCCATACGTTATTCCCCAATTTAGAACTCTTTCAAAAGGAAGTGAAGAAGCAGAAGAGAGCTTAGCTATCTACATGAGAAACATGTTGAATAAACAAAATGTTCTCTCTATTAATAATCCTCCCGTACAGCTTGAAGGAGAACCGAGACCAGAGACAGAAGTCGAACCTGGAGACTGGGTTTTCATAAAGGTCATAAAGAAGAAGTCCTGGGCAGACCCACGGTGGGAGGGACCGTTCCAGGTGCCACTAGCAACCCCTACAGCAGTAAAAATAGCTGAACACCCCTCCTTGATTCATCTCTCTCACTGTAAGAAAGCACGAGAACTTTCTGATCACGGTCGAAATAAACCTGCTTAGAGCCTCTTAAGGACTAGTCCGGCTACAAAGGGGAGTGAAACCAATAGGGCCACTCATCTCAACACCGGTGAAGAAATTATTAAAGTCCAGAGACAGTAGTGGAGCAGATTCGACCATGACCAGACTGATACTGTATTACTTAATCATTACTGCCTATGGGCTCTATGTGATAAAGGGGTTTCATACTCCCATCTATCAGGGCAACCCGGTAAGGGGGGGGCCTTCGGAAAATAGTTAAGACCCTGACAATGGAGTACCAGGAAGGTGTCACTGGTACTGTCAAATTTGATCTGTGCCAAATAATCAAATGTACAGACCAGAGAACTGGTTACATTTGGGCAGAAAAATATGTCTGTGAAACACCTCTGATAGACACTCCTGGGCTCACCAAGGGTGGCTAGTGTGATTATTGGAATGATGTTATTTGCAATTCTGGAATTTCTAGGTGGGAATACAGCCCTGCCAGAGCCTCCCATGGACCTGATCCCTTAAACCAACGTATGTCTATCTATCAAGGCCAGACACCCACAACCTGTTCCATCGATGACTGTAACCCAATGTATCTCACCCTCACAAGACCAAAACCCTCTGATGCTGGTCTTTATGTACTTGGTGTTATCTTTCCGGACAAGATCCTTTAGGTCATTTTCAAATAAAAGTCACTCCAAAACCTTACTCACAAACTACCTCAAACATTACCTCAACCACTCCCATGCAAGATAATGCCACTTCTGGCTCTTGGCTAAATTCCACACGCTTCTCTATGTCTGAAAAATTAGCCATTGAAACAGGCTATGCAGCTAGGAATGAATTGTTTGAATGGATGCTGTACACAGCTAAAACCACAAATGTCAGCAATTGTGTAGCATGCTCCGCCAGCAGACCTCAACTAGGAGCAACTCCCTTTAGACTAACACAAATAAATGCCGATGAAGGATTAAGATGTACCCTGCGGCTGTTTACATGTGACAAATTTTTGAACTGCACATGCCAACTTTTTTCTTATTTGTTTCCAGCCACCAAGCCTACTATGCCACCTGGTGTTCTAGCCTTACCTGGGAACTACACCTGTTTCTCTAGATCTTCTGGTCAGAAGAATGGGTCAATGCTCCCCTGGTGCACATATACCTACGATGTCACCAAAAACGATAATGGTTATCCATCCAAGTGGTTCACCGATCATACCATGGCACGCGCTGACCTGTGGTGGCTGTGTGGGGATAGGAAACTGAGGGCTGTGTTGCCCCAAACCTGGCAGGGATCTTGTGCCTTGGTACAGCTTCTCATGCCCTTCCACATCTACCCCACCACTGCCTTTTCGGCACTGCCCGAGAGGCTAAAACTTCACCACCGTCAGAAGCGCGATACCTCGGCACCAGTGGCTTTCGATAGCTATATCTATACAGATGCAATAGGAGTCCCTAGAGGGGTTCCGGACGAGTTTAAGGCTAGAAACCAGATCGCTGCAGGCTTTGAATCAATTTTTCTGTGGCCAACGATCAATAAAAATGTGGATTGGATTGACCATTTGTATTACAATCAGTTGCGTTTCATGAATCATAGCAGAGATGCTCTAAAAGCTGTCCATGAACAACTGCAGGCTACATCACTTATGGCATGGCAAGATAGGATTGCCCTAGACATGTTACTGGCTGAGAGAGGCGGGGTATGTAGAATGTTTGGTGACTTTTGCTGTACGTTCATTCCCAATAACACCTCCCCTGATGGAAGTTTTACCAGGGCTCTCCAGGGTTTGGAAACCCTGTCCAAAGAAATGCATGATAATGCTGGTATCAATAACCCCTTGAGCTCCCTGCTCGAATCATGGTTCGGGAAGTGGGGTGCTCTTGTCTCTTCTGTTTTGATTTCTCTTGCAGTGGAAGCAGCACTCATCACCACCTGCGGGTGCTGTCTTATCCCCTGTGCGAGAGGACTCCTCCTGCGCCTCATCGACTCTGCCGTCACCAAGGTCACGGTATATGAGGACATGAACAAGTCCACCTACGTGCCCATGACTGTGCTGGAAGAATTCAACGCCCTGGCAACAATCGAAGAAGTTGAAGAACCCAACTTGTGAATAAAGGACAGTGATAGTGAATGGTTCATGAAGCAGCCTGTAAAAACCTAGCGGAGAGCAGGTTGTAGAAGTTATAATCCAGAGATACACACTGTTTTTTAACCCTGATATGCTCTGATTTATGCTTTGCGTTTAAACCCTCACATATAGTATAAACGGGAGGGAAATGTCAGAAAAATTCAGTATTATACTTTATGTGAATGCTTGAATCACCATATATGGTTATGCTTAAGCTTAGAACTCTGTAGGCAGAAGAATTCAGACAGAGTGCACTGTGTACACTCTGGGGTCAGATGAAGGGCTCTCCTATCAGTAAGAAGTGGAAACAACCGTACACAGGAAAGGAGAACTTAACCTTTGGGTAGTCTCGAAGAAAAGAGATGTATCGGAAAATAGATAAACCAGAAGTTAAAGAATAGTTCAGCGGAGTAAGAGTAAAACGTACATTTCCAAAGGTATAAGACAGGGCATGACCCAAAGCATTTTGAGCATTACATTCTAGACTTGACTCTGTGTGTAACTGCTCCCTTGCTGCAAGAATAAAAGCTTCAAAGACATCGGTGGTCTCAGGCTGATTATTTAAAGAAGATTTTTCTAACATTTTACTCTGTTACATTTTAGCTAAAGTAATATTTTACTGTGTTACATTTTAGCCATTCGTTTTTAGATTTTTTTGCGTTTAATTTGTTTGTTTTGATGGGGGCAATATTTGTTCTGCTTTGTGATTTGTTACATCTCTGACTTTGGAGCTTTTGTATTTTAGACCAAAAAAATTCCAAAAAGAGAAGAACGGAGACGTGCAATCTTCAGCTCCTATTCTGACAAATGCTGGATATGTAGCTACTAAGAGGTTCCACTGCAGTACTCAGTACTTAAGTAGATTTTTGACCTGTTTTTGTATTTCTACTCAAGTAGTGTTGGGAAAAGTAATTTTACTTGTGTATGCAAGTATCAATATTTTTATGTGAGTATTGATTTACCCACCTCTGAACCTGATCATGAACAGTGTCAGTGTTTGTTTTGATGCTGCTTCAGTAGGTGCAGCATCAGATAGCAGTGTTTGTTAGCTAACATCTCTGAAGAGTATCAGGCTGTTTTCATTCCCAGTTCATTTTATAAAGACTTACCACAGTGTGCTGGGCTGCAAGTAAATTTAACCTATCAGGTCGCTGACGATTGGCCAAAAATTTGCTCCACGATCCATGTGCCAAAATCAAATGCATATTATTATTATTATTATTATTATTATTATTATTATTATTATTTTATTGCTTGTCTCTCGTTATTTACAGCAGCTCGCAGAGCAGGAATGATATGAGTGTTTGTAAAGAGTGAAATCTTAAAGCAGTAGGTTGTGCAGACAGTACAGCATAAATGTGCTCTGAAAAAAAAATTATGAATGAATCAGCATGGTTCATTTGTTTGGTGGTGCCTGAATTTGGGTGTAGTCGCATGTCAAAACCCAACTAATAAGTTTAACAGGTTTGCACCAACCAAAGCAGGTCTGAAAGCACCTCCCAGCTAAAATGAAGATTCTGATTGGCTCTGAGGTTTACTCTGTCTATTACAGTTCTATGGAAATGTTTAAGCACCCTGCGGTAAATTAAGACATAAGAATAATGATACCCTCCAGACTTTGGTAAAACCCTAACTCTTCTGGAGGGCACTATGAATAGGATAAACATAGGAGTTAAAAAAAATATAAAACATCTCAATACAAAAAATCTGAAGACTTTAACAAAGTTAAAGCGACGACACAGCAAACACACTTATCTTGCTTCGCTTAAGATTTTAAACAAAGTCATTGTTGACGGATGATTCTGAAAACTCCTACCTTTTCACTTCACTTCTTTCACACACATCTGATGTCCTTAGAACTTGATGAGATACAGATGTCAGTTTAGACTTTCCTTTTCCTTTCACTACTCATACTGCAAAAAATGCAAAGAAAATAAAATGCTTTCGACACTCCTCTGCGCCCACAGCACAGCAGGAAGTAACCACTCATCTTACTCAGGCCAGCACACTAGTCATCTTCATTCTTGAGAGTGGTACATCATGCAAAACCAAAAGGTTTTTTTAATTTGATAAGAGAGAATTTTGCTAAAGCTGTTGGTTTAAGAAGCCAAAAACTTTTATTTTTTAAGAGTGTAAAGTGTAGCGAGCTGCGTACTTGGACAGTACATCTTATTTCTGGCTTTAATCGTACTGAGTAAAATTCCTCATTCTTCCCACTGAGGCTCAATTTATAGGAGCTATGACACCCCCTTGTGTTCATATTCTTGAATGACTTGTAAATCTGTGCTTTACTTAGCTTGCACTGAATAGCAATGCTGTTTTGCGTTAGTCCAGATCAGTGGACCCTGTAAAGCTTTGGTTTGATCATGTTTGTAGCTCTCATCTCACGCTAGCTACACAGCATTGAGTGTGATTCTGGGAGAAAGCCATATCCACCACTGGCCACTAAACTTCCAATGGCCATCCCAAAACTCTTCCCAGTGTACGAAATATGAAGCTTTACAACTATAAATAAAACTAACAGTATATTGTCAGAATAAATAGGTACTATGTAAAATGAAAGATGTTTAAATGTGTATTGTAATTTAATCATATACAATTCTCAATTATGAGACAAAGTAACATCAGAACAACAATCTTAATATGAAGAGCTCCAAATAGTACCAAAAAGTTTGAAGACTTGCAACAATAGCAGAACTCTTACTGGTGCTCTTTGTGACCAAAAGAGTGCAAGGCAATGCTCTGAGAAGTTTGCACCACAGACTCTTTATTTGTATATTTTCTTCTTTTATATTTATATATATATTTATATATATATATATATATTTATATATATATTTATATATATATTTATATATATATTTATATATATTTATATATATATATTTATATATATATTTATATATATATATATATATATATATATATATATATATATATATATATATATATATATATATATATAAGATATGAAACAAGGACATGCCGCTCAAAATAAAAATACACCAGTTTACCTTTCAAAAAGACAAAATTGATTATTTAAACCACAGGACATAAGATATAATCTTTCAAAGCTTCAAGCCACTGATCACTTGGCCTAGCCCAATCTGGAAGCAAAAGAGGAGAAAAGAAATATTGAAATAGAGACAAATTCAACTAGATAAAGTTACAGTTCATACACAACCTCAAGATGAAAACACAAATACAAAATTATATTTTACATAGAATAAAATAACTTCCATGTAATGATTGCCCTTATAAGGGGAGTACCCTTATTCAGTTGGAAACGGCAGCTCCAAACCCTCAGTGGTATACAGCATAACCATGCAGGCCCTCATCACAAAGCAGCCAACCAATCTAGGGTCAAGTATAGGCCCACCGGAGCAAACACCTAAAAAAGTAAAACTTCATTGCTCCATATGCATATAGCACCTTTAAACTAGCTAGTATGAAGCAGCTCTAAACAAACTATCAAAATCCCTTATCTGTGAAGCTTCAAAAGACCAATAAAAATGACAAAAGGCGCCAATGAAACTAAAAGAAGATTCAAAACCACAAACCTACCTCCTGTAGGATAAAATTAGGGCCTACCCAATAAAGAGGAAAGGAGTAACACCTCACTACTCAATGACTGCAACAGATACCAAAACTTCAGTTAGATCCAACCAACCATTGAACTAAAATCACAACCAAGATTTGTCCTACTTTAGGCTGTCCACAGCATGACGAAATGCAGAGAGATCCAACTGCTGTCTTAGCAGACCACAACAAACAGCACCAAAGACCAACAAAGAAATGCCGTTCAAGGACTCAGACACCTGTGACCAATTAATTAGGGGAGAACTACAGGAAATGGGAAGACTACCACAATAAAAGCCTCCAAAGGAATATTCCACGTATCATAATAAAAGGCATCCAAATACTTCGTCCTGCCACATATAGAACCATTTTTTTTAAAGTTCCTTTAGCTACGGTGACCAGATTTCTGAAATGAAAACCGAGGACATTTCCAGTATGGCAGCCAATAAATCATTATAGTATCAAATGTTTTTATCTATTAAATAAAAAGGGGGGGCAATTCCAGCCTATGTGCGCACAGTGTGAGGAGAGAGAAAGACACTGCTGCCAGAGGAGCTGCTGACTGAGATTGATGTGAACATTACGCATTACAAGCAAGTGGTAGATGTGGTTAGTAGATAGCAGCAACCAGCCCCCTCTGTTGACCAAAACAAGCACAACTCGAGACGTCTGCCTGTCTGCTCTGCTACCAGGTCTTTCTTCGGACCTCCTGGTGTGTTTTTAATTCACAGTTTAAAACAGGGACAGCTCCAGCCAGGGACAGGCCACCAAAAATGGGGAATGTCCCTGGAAAACAGAGATGTCTGGTAACCCTAGCTTTAGAGAACTATAAACATGATCATACACAACATATTGTAGTGCCCCCTATTGGTTTACACAGCCATGGATGCAGTGCTTTACAGGAGCACCACAGCCATAGCAAGCGACTTCCAGAGACTTTAGTCCTGTAAATAGTTCTGCTATTAGTCAAAAATGTGTTTGTGTTATCTGTGCTTTGTTGTGCTGGGCTGTTGGGCTGGTTAGTGGGTCTCTGTGGCCACCATGGATGAATGTTGTATGGTTAAAGGTGACCTGCACCACACTGAGCCATGGTTCTCCCAGCTGCTGGATCTCATAAAAGAAAATTCAATGTGTTTTCCTTATGTTATTCTGTGCCAATGCCACAGTATGATGGAATCAGTCCATTGCACAGACATGTAAACCCTACAAATCTAGCCCGAACTGTAAGTAATCCAAATATTTCTGCTTGTTTGCCATAATAGAACTGAAAGCATGCTAACCTCTGTGACTTTAAAAGATTTGATGATGCAGTCATTTGGAGTACTGAACTGATTAATGGAATTCTACCAGTATTTTGGCATTGAATTTTTTGCACCCTGCACCTTTCTCCACCACTCTAGTATAAATAGCATGCTGTAGCTAGCTACTAAACTGTATATATGCCATTTCATGTACACTTAGTGAGCACTTTATTTGGTACATCTACCTTATGTCTACACTTTAAAATGTAGTTTTACAGTTACAGACTGTAGTTCATCTATTTCTCTGCATACTATGTTATCCCACCTATACCCCACAAGACCACCACAGAACAGGTGTTATTTGGGTGTTAGATCAGATATAGAAGTGCTGGTGGGGGTTTCAAGCACTCTTACAATGTGTTATTTCTGCAAATAGGACAATTGGCTTGCTACACTGTATATTTGCAATGCAATGTTATTACTGCCATCTACCTCATTCCTTACTGGCGTACTGTTTGGTGCCACTTCTTTATTTATTATTACATGTTGTTTAATGTACTTGTCTAGTATGTGCAATATTCTTCCAGTATGTGCAATAAGCATGCTGCTGTAGTATAAGAATTTTATTATATTTTTGAACACACCATCTTTGGAATACATATAACGATAAACCAGTCTTGAAAAACATCACATAGTACCTTGTACTAGTATTCAAATACTGAAAACTCTGCTCCTACACAAATCATATCGTTTAAAACAGTGGAGGGTGGGGGGTGTTTTGGGCTGATTAGTTCCCAGTTCCCTTGAAGTCAAGTTAATATAATACTCAAAACATAGTGACCTCTACCTTCATGGGATAACAGTGAGTCTCATAACTACTGAATTTGTGTTCATTTTTAAATAAGTAAATAGATGTCGAAAGAAGGGTAGTGTGGTTAGTGTTTCTGCTAACCAAAAAGTTTTGACATATCGTATGTGAAGCCTTCCATTGCCAAGTATGGAGATATGTACTGTGTTTGGAGGGGTAAAAGGTGTAGCATAGAAAAAAAAAAAAAAAAAACAAATAGTTGTGTTATAACATCAGGTTATAACTTATTGATCACAGCAATGCAGTCATCATCCTACCTATTCCAACACTTCTGTTGTAGTGATACAAAACAACAGCAACAATAGGACTGTGTACATCCAAAATACAGGGTTCATGTGAAGCCAATCAACACTACAAAAGCCTTCTTTATAAATCAGAGAGCTTTAAATCGGGATCTTGAGTCCACTTTCTGTCCTGGATTTTGTAATCACTGGTGGTTGACTGACTGATTGGCCACCTAGTGTCATACATGATTACAAAATCCAGGACAAAGAACTGAATTCAGGGTCTGGATTTGAAGATCTTTGCTGTAAAGCATGCGTCCACTCATCATAAGGCAACATAAGTGAAGACAATGTAACTGAATTCAAATCAGATAGCTGAGATGCACAAGGATGAGGAAAAAACAACACCAGCATATATCAGGCATTCTAGGCTAAAGCATACTGCCATAGCAGGCATGAATGATTTTTATGGATCATTTATGTCATACCTTTGATGACTGGATGCATTGAAGTTCATGTTTGCTTTGACATTTTAACATCAGCTTTTTAGTGAACAATCATTATAAATACTAAACTCACAGACCACTGAGGACAATTATATTTTTTAAAGTTTGTTTTTGGCTTTGGAAATGGGTGGGAAACAACATATTCCTCTCTACTGGGGACAGAATCTCATTTTCGCAGGTTTCTCAGGTTCAGCATTTGACCACAGCTGGACCTCAAATTCAAACACTGGCACACTGATGCTGCTAAGCAGTGACTGGAAGGTTGGGAAATAAAGCTGAACTTGGGACTGGTCAATTGGGCTATACCTCACCTGTTCAGGAATGATGTGGAGAACGCAATAATTTTGACTGGTCATAGTACAATGACAGCAGTGACAGACAACAAACAAAATTAATTACCTTATAGTTTATTCCTCATTTGATTGGGTAGGCCATGCAAGCATCTTCTTCACCTTCTTTTTTTTTAATTTGTCCTATATTTTGGCTTTATGTTTGCAGCCATTGTCTTCTTGAAACACTCATCGTCTCTCCTCTCTTGGCTGATGATTCAATTCTCCACTAATATCTCCCTCTACTTCATCCCATTCATGTTTCTTTCAATGATGCCTCAGTATTGTTTGCAGAGAAGCAGCCCCACACCATGATGCTCCCACCTTCGTACTTCGACAGGAATGTTTAAGGTCTTTGCTAGAGCTCCGTAGCTTTTCTTTCAAGTGTTGATTAACAGTGTTGTCCCATAGAACTTTAGGAAGCTGCTTAATGTTCATCACGCTACTTGTAAAATCAGATGAAATTTCTATGAGAACATTTTCCTGTTTCTCTTTTGCAGCATTGATATAGATGTATAGCATGATATATTTTTCTTTTTAACCTTTACATATACAACAATATACATTACTCTTCATTGAAGAAGGAAATAAAAAAAGAAAAGCAATGTTTTAGCTGCTTTTCCGTAATATTTTGAGCATATTTTATAACAACATATATAGCAACATTTATCTGATAGCACTGCTAATATTCTGGTTATCTAAGATCACTAAACTCTGCATGGTGGTAGATAATCATAAGCATGCTTGGGTACCAGACTAATGCCAATACCACCATATTTTTGACTCATACATTACTAATTATTTATACATAAACTTATACATATAACATTATAACACAATCTTTACCTTAATGCTTAGTTCTACAGGCCTGGCCCAGAGTACAGTGTGATAAATATTTTATTATTCTAATTAGTCTTAGAATATTCTATGTAATATCCTTAAAAATAATGTAGAAATATAGTACTGACATTACATTGTAACCATTTTTCTTATTTAGATTCCCAAGGAAATGGTCATGTTTAGTATTGAGGCATTCATATGGCAGTGCAACCACAGAGGATATAATACATAAAAGGCGTCTTTATTTTTGTATTTTAGTGCATGTGTATAAAAAAGCTTTGGTAACATGATTATTCAAATTGAACTTCTTTAAAAAAAATATGGTCACATTAAATGGGAAAATACATGCATTTATCACAAAAAGAATGCCTTTTTAAGGGGTAACACCAGTGACAAACTGACTAAAACATTGCATTTTACATGAAAATATATTAAAATATGTTTGGAATTGAGCTCTCCATTCTGTACATTTGGTAATAGGATATGCTAATTGACATATTGGGATGAAAGAAATTGATTTTAAAAAATGTATCCACCTGTATTCCCGCTCCAAATGGAGAATGATCTATACACATGCTCTTTCCCACTTGTGAAAAATATGGGTGAAGAATATAACATCCCTCTCTATGTACTCCCAGTCTAGGTAGTCCCAGTCTATGTAGTATGGATGGACTAGTCCCATTCCTATTGAAACTCTCAGTTGAGCAGTCTTTGTGACTGAAGCTCCTGCCGTTTATGCCCCACTAATGAACCATCTTCTAAAGTTACTTAGATTTTTTTTCTCTTGCTATCTTGATCCAAAATCGAGATCAATTGGGGTGGCTCAGAATCTTTACTCATGCCGCAGAGAGTGGTAGTACACCTGTCTGGAAGCATTTGCACTCATTATGTTTCTCCACCCGTTTATTCATGTTTTCCTTCAATGTTTGAAAGTAATTCATGAGCACAATATATTTTAAGCTTTCTTTCAATTCTTCAGTTCAATTTTATGTTTGCTGCATCTCTACAGGTTCATACACTGGAGGAAAACAACAGGAGAAGATTCGACGTATCCACCCTCTGGATTCCTCCTGGCCATCAGGTCTGTTCTCCTCTTCTTCACCAGCCTCTGTCTTCTCAGCCTCACCTCTGTCTTTGTCCCTCTCCTCTCTCCTTCACTTCCTTTCTCATCACCATCATCTTGTTCTTCTTTGGACAGTCTTTCCACTTCATCTTGAGTTTCCTCTACTCCTCCATCCCCTCCAACTGCCGCTCCACTCACTCTCTCGTCTCTTCCTGCTTCAGTGCTTTCTGTGCTCCTCAGAGCCTGATAATCTATTTCCAGTTGTCTGTAAGTCTCTGTGAGCTCAGACAGTCTTTGTTTCAGGGTCAACAGCTCTCGATCCTTTTGCTCCACCTTCACCAGGAATTGTTTCTGCATCTTTGAGATGAGAACCCAGACTGTACGGTGGAGTTCAGGCAGGATGATCTTCATGAGGTTCCTCTCTGCCTCCATCCTGGCTTTTCCTTCATACATCTCTATGATGTCCTCCATCTCCTGTCTGTGTCTCTCCTCTATCTCACTTTTCATTTTGTCCCACTTTTCCTTCAGTTCTTTCAACTGCTGTTGAATCTCCTCTTTCTGCTGAATCTCTCTCTGCAGTTTCATCTCCAGCTCTCTTTTCGTCTCATCATTTCTCTCCTCTTTTAGTAAACTCTCAAGTTCAGTTATTCGTTCCTCATGTTGCTGGAGTCTCTCCTCAAGCTCCTGGATTTGTTCTGTTATACTCTTCAGAGCATCCTGGATTTCCTTCTCTTGTTTCTCCTTAAATTTTCCAATCTCTCTCTTATTATTCTCCTCTCTTTCTTTAATAATTCTTTTCTCCATTTCCCTGATCTCATGGTAGATATCACTGCTGTAGAAACCCTCTTCATTTCCTGCAACCATCTTCTCTATCTTCTCCAGCAGCTCTGAGATTTGAGAACCATCTCCACTCTCCTTAATGCTGAGACAGTGAAACCTGTTCCCACATTTCTCTACAAGTCTCTGGACCTCCTGGTTTCCTGACTGGATAAACTCTTCAATGTTCTTCTCTTGGACTTCATCAGTAACGGTGAAAAGGATCATGGTGTTCCTCCAACATCTCTCCCAAAAAATCTCCTCCATTTTCTCCAGCATTCCTTCTTCCTCTCCTGTAGACTGCTTCACTGGTATGACTAGGAGGAAGGCGTGGGGTCCTGGGGCAGACAGACGGACACAGAGTCCCACGTCCTGTCTCAGCTCCTCCAAAGAGAGTCCAGGACAGAACCAGTCAGGAGTGTCCACCACAGTCACCTGCCTCCCAGCCACCTCCTCCTGTCTGCTCTCACTCTGCTGCCTCACTGTAGACACTTCAGCCTGGCTCCTCTCCTCTCTGCCTAGGATGGTGTTTCCTGCTGCTGTCTTCCCACATCCAGTCCTCCCCAGCAGCACCAGCCTGAGCTCTGATGCAGGAACTGACAGTGGAGAAGCTCCAGTGGTTTCAATGTCCACTGGAAAAAGAAAGAAAGTTCTAAATCATTCCCAGGAATTTCTAAATAGTTCATTCTGTTTATTTTGTGGTTTCAAACACCATAATCATACTGTAACTTACTGTGTGGAGGTAGATGTTGACTGTTTCTTTTCTGGCATGAAGTGTCTAGATCTGATGTATCTAAGGTTTCTGAAAAAAATCAAACATTGAAGCAGGAAAATTACATTGAATACATTCCATTTATTGGTTTGTTTGTTTGTTTACTCACCAGTAATCTGTGGATCTTCCAGTTGTTTGAATATCTCCATTTTAGCCTCTAAATCACGTATCTGTTGATCTATAATTAAACATTATATGATTATTACATTATTAAAATGGTTAATGTAAAGATTTATACTAATATTTATTTCTTATTTTTCCTCCATTATCATATTAGGATTATTAGTAGTACAATAGACATGCAGATAATATTTGTCAAGATAGAAAAATAGTACTACACTGTTTAAGGAAGGGTACATATTCATTGCTTTAGTTATGCAACATAATTGTACCATATTCCATTGTAATCATATATATGTAAAGTTGTATTGACTCCATACACTCAGTTTTACCTTTAGCTTTTTATTTTTCATTTTTAAAACATTAGAGAATGAAAACGTGCAAATGCATATTATATTTCCTCTTTGGAAACTTAATTTAAGATACACAGTTGGACCTTAAAACCACTGCTGTACCTTTGAGGGAACATTTACATTGTTTGTCCTTTGATAAACAAAAATGTACCTGTACACTTTTTCTGACAGTGTAAAGATGTATGAGAACCCCTTGCATTCACGTATTTAATCATTTCTTGTCCCTTTCACATGAACTTTACCTTTCTCCGTTAGCGTCACTTCAATGTCTTGTAGTTGAGCTTCAGTTTTTTTCTGTTCTTTTAAAGCTTTGTCCCGATCCATCCTGGCCTCCTTCAGCTGCTGTAGCAGTTTTTCTTTCTCTTGAATTCTTTCCTCATTAATTCTTCTGAAGAGCTCGATCATGTTATTTGCCTTAAACTCTGAAAATATTAGACATAATCAGAAATGTCAGTCAATTAAAACATTTTTCTGTTTCGTTTACATGGCTACACTAAAGGTTCCTACATGGTTCTTGGCTTCTAAGAAAAAAACTGTGAAGTCATTAATTACATTTTGTGGAAGTTCTTCCAACTCTAATAAGGTCCTTCATACTTGCACGGCTTATTTATAAATATGATTCTCTTAGAAAGCGCATACATCAAAAGTGCTTAGTTTGGCAAAAGTATGCAAAAGTTTGGGCTCCCGTGATCATATGACATTTTATTGATTTTCTAAGTGAGAATAAATGAACACATCCTCTACAGAGAATACACTTCTGTACATAATGTGGCCTGTGCAAAAGTAATGTTGTAGAAAAATGCCATATTGAAGTGTTTTATCTGTAGAGCATGTGTTAATGTATTTTTCACTTAGAAAATCAACAGAACAACAAGAAAATCAACCAAAAAAAAAAGTAAATTTGTGGTGGGGTCTTCAGACCTTTGCATATGTATCTTTATTTTTAAGAGTATTATCTCTGAATTTTATAGCCAGTTAAATCCAACTGAAATGGATTTATTAACCCCTTAAATGGTCAGTGACCACCAACAGGCCCAACGTTTTATTACACACTTCTATAACTTCTATAACTCTATAACACTTCTCAACCAGTTTGCACTGGTAGTTGCTGTAGTTACTGAATAATAAGCCTCAGTGTGTAATAAGTCTGAGATTTTAAGACTTTGACCTTCTTATAGTTCTCATACTATTCTTGTTTCTACTAAAAATGTCATTAAGAATGCAGTTTTGCAGGAAATCGAATAAAATAATTCAGTTGTAGACAAAGTGACTCACCCGTTAGCAGAACAGATTCCTCCATTTTCATTCTCTCCTCTTCAGTCCAGGCTCCCTCCACCTGTGGACAGGAATCATGGAGGCTGATTGTTTCTGAATGAATGTCACTAACAGAAAAGTTTGGTTCTGATTTAGTTCAAATTCATCCAGTTTCATCTTGTGTCTACTAGTTAAGAATCAATAAATGCTAAAATTCCACTGAATGGCAGATTGAATACATTTCGGGCCAGGTCAGAAAACACTGTCATTATGGGGGAAATTACAGTCATTAATTGCATTACTCACCTTCACCAGTTTATGGATTAAGCCGAACTTATCACTGAGCACTACGTAAAAACAAAGGAGAACATTTGTGAAGAGCAAAGCAAATGGAGAACACATCACTGTTACAATCATATGCAAAATGTTAAACACCTTCCAGTCCAATGACGTTTTGTTGATTTTCTAAGTGAAAATAAACACATTCTATACAGAGAACACACTGAAACATGACATTTTTTCAGCTAATTTTAATGCACAATTTTGATTTATTCACTTCAACATTAGTTTAACATCTTGAAAAAAAAATTATTAATATATATATATATATATATATATATCTTCATGTTTCTCATTTCACTCACCTTGATTGCAGGGGCTAAAAATTGATTTGCATCTGATTTGCTACTTATTTAATTCAACTTATCCACTTTCTTGTGGATTCTCCTTTGTGCAAGAACTGGAATTTCCTTCCGTATGTAAATGATGTGTTGACTTAAAAAAAATAATGTAAACTCATTTTTACCTCTATATTTAGGCAAATTGATATAAACCCTACCATGTTAATTAGAATAGATGACTGTAGCATGTATCCTCAAGGCCATTGGCTGAATTAATTATTTCATAAAGATGTACATTAACTGCACATCTGTAAGTCAAAGACACAGTGGCAGCCACAAAAAAGCCAAACTCAGGTCCAGACAAGCTAGGAATAAGGCTTCAACTTGCTGTGAGGGACCTTTAGTCTGTTTGGCTTTCTGAAATCTGATGGTGTTGGTGATGCAATGGGTTTCTTACCCTTCTATATTTCCCACAACTTAAAATATGCCTCAAGTTATATTTGTTAGTTTGTTGAATGCACTCTACTTTAAGTACAAGTGCTTTTCCATTTACAAGGACATTTTCCATTAATACAACCCCTTTTCCAAAAAAGTTGGGATGCTGTGCAAATAAAAACAAAATGCAATGATGTGCAAATCATGTAAACCCTATATTTCATTGAAAATAGTACAACGATAACATATAATGTTGAAACTGAGAAATTTTATGGTCAAATAAAATATATATGTTCCAAAAAAGTTGTGTAATGCTAAAAAACACCTGGTGGTTGATTGGCAACAGTCAGTAATATGATTGGGTATAAAAAAGTATCCCAGAGAGGCTGAGTCTTTCAGAAGTAAAGATGGGGAGGGGTTCACCACTCTGTGAGAGACTGTGTGGGCAAATAGTGCATCAATTCAAAAATAATGTTTCTCAACATAAACAAAAGTTCTTTTTCATCATCTAGAGTACATAATAACATTAAAAGATTCAGAGAATCTGGAGAAATCTCTGTATGCAAGGGACAAGGCCAAAAACCAGTATTTGCTGGCCATGATCTTTGGGCCCTCAGGCAGCACTGCATTAAAAACAGACATGATTCTGTAGTGGAAATCACTGCATGGGCTCAGGAACACATCTGCAAACCACTATCTGTAGAAACAGTTCATCACTGCATCCACAAATGTTAATTAAAACTCTAAATTGCAAAGAAGAAACTGTACATGAACAGGATCCAGAAACGCAACCACCTTCTCTGGGCCTGAGCTTATTTAAAATGGACTGAGTGAAGTGGAAAAGTGTCCTGTGGTCCAACAAATCAACATTTGAAATTCTTTTTGGAATATATATATATATATATATATATATATATATATATATATATATATATATATATATACACATACACACACACACACACACACACACACACACACACATACACACACATACATACACACACACTTTGACAACATATGCTGCCATCCAGATGACGTCTTTTTCAGAGAAGGCCTTGTATATTTCAGCAAGACAGTTTCAAACCACATTCTGCATGTATTACAACATGATTCCATAGTAAAAGAGACTGGGTGATAAACTGGCCTGCATGCAGTCGAGACCTTTCACCACTAAAAAACATTTGGTGCATTATGAAATGAAAAATACAATAAAGGAGACCCCAAACTGATGAGCAGCTGAAATCCTATATAATACCAATAATGGGAAAAAATTTCACTTTCAAAACCTCAGTTCCCAAATGCTTACAGAGTGTTGAGAAGAGGTGATGAAACACAGTGGTAAACATGCCCCTGTCCCAACTTTTTGGGAACGTGTTGCTGGCATCAAATTCAAAAAACAATAATATTTCTCAGATTCAACATTTGATATGTTGTCTTTGTACAATTTTCCTTTAAAAATATGGTTTACATGATTTGCTTATCATTGCATCATATTTTCATTTACATTCTGTACAGCATCCCCACTTTCTTGGAAATGGGGTTGTGCCAGTTTTCCATTAATGAATTCATTGAATGAAGTCAGTTTGGATGCATATGTATATGTTAGAAACCTACAGGCTAACTAATGACATACATGTGAAGCCGCTTGGCCACCATATTGGCCGCTCTCTCTGCTGTAAAATAAAGTTATCTGTGGATACGATGTTCCAAATATATTCCCCACAGTAGAGATAAAGATGTCCTGTGTTGTCCTTTAGGAAAACACAATTTCAGAGTTGTGGCAAGATATTTAATGTGTAACAGTCTCTGTCAAAGTCTAACATTCTTGCTTTCAACCTTACAAGAGTAACTAACAACTTAACATAGCCTTATGTAGCCCACTTGCTCAATTATTTCATAAAGATATATTTGTTTACTTAATCAGGTATTTGAAAAAGGAATATGTAGTTTGTTAATTCCCTTTGAAAGAGCAACAATTAACTTAGCTAACAAGCTTTTTGTTTGAAATATTTAGTAAAATACTCACTAAAAGACGACAAAATATAAAGTGGCAAGCATATCAAGTCTCAAAACACCATGTAGAAAAATTAACGTTCACCACTGTTTGTTTAGTGCTAATATAGCAGTGCAAATCCAATAGAGATCCACTAGCTGAAATCAGCCCTACTGTAGCAGTGATAATAGATAAACAAGGGCTTTTTAAAAGAAAAACTGCCTTATATGAAGAAAAATCAGATGTCCTTCTCTCTAGAAAACAAAAATACCCAAGAATCTGCTACTCATCTTAAAAACTGACTAAATCCATGCAAATCTATATGGGGTAGTTTCTTGTGGGAAATATGAGCTGCTGGAGTGGTGGCTTCAGAAATGTGCCATCTGTTGGTGATGTAGGTCTCTAATACGTATTATATTCAGTGTGAGTACTGATGCATGTGGAGATCTGAAACACTTACTCTCTACTGCTACTGTTAGCTCTTCTGTTTTGAAGCCACTGGTGACCTGACACAGGTAATGTCCTTTATCCTGCTCTTCACACAGTCTCAGTTTTAAAGACACGTCTCCTTTTTCTAGCTCCTCCTTGAACAGACTCACTCTGCCCTCGTAGCCCCTCCCCTCTGTCACCTGCTTGTTCTTATAGAGACAAACACAGTTCGTCCCCTTAAACCACCTGATCTCCATGGCAACTGCACTGATTTCAGGGGACAGATGACAGGGTATTGTGACATTTGGGCCAAGGGACTCTATTTTGTCACAGGGGATCACAAGGTGAAACTCATCTGTGAGGAAAACACAAACACATACAAACAAATTACCATAGTTTTTCTGTCACAATTAAACTACTGGTAATACTGTACTGTGCTTCTCTGAACATTTCTCTAATCTAAAGCCTAATCTAACCCCAGCCTTTTGTGCCAATTAAAGCAGGGGTGCTCAATCCTGGTCCTGCAGATCTACCACCCTGGACAGTTCAGGTCCATCACACCTGGCTCTAATATTCAGATGCCCCTGTAGGTCTTCATTAGCTGGATCAGGTGTGTTGGATTAAGGTTGGAACTAAATTCTGCAGGGTGGTTGATCTCCAGAGGCAGTGTTGAGCACTGCTGAATAAAGGTTTTTAGAACATTACACCCTAGCCCAGGAGCCATGTAAGAACTTTTATTTTTAAAAGTGTAGGCCTGAAGTTCAGGTTAGTTTCCTATGTGAACAGAAGACCCATGCAGAAGTCTGTCAGTAACCATTTAATTAACCCCTGACTCATAACAGAGACATATCCATGCCATAAACATGCCATAAACTGTCAAAACATGTTATGTCACATGTTAATATTTTGCATGCACATATGTGTACAGTGCAGAACAATATGCTTTATGCTTCGTGACAACAATATGACAAAGTATGACATCTTAAAAATTCCTCGTTTCTGTAAACAGCAGACATGTTATGAGAAATCTTATGAGACATATTATGATGTTATTAAACACTGGGCAGGAGCATGTCATAAATGTGTTATAATAGATTTTGTTATTATGAAAAATCATGTCTAATTGTTGTAATGTTGATTTTTCACACACAATAACTGAAAGACTGTAAAATTAGTCATTTAATTTCTTAGAAATACATTCTGTACTGTCTTTTACTGTAATTCAACACTTTCACTACTAACTGTTTATTCTGACTTACAGTATTTTATCATAACAACAACAACAACAACAACAACAACAACAACAACAACAACATCCAAATGTCCATGAAATAAAGGTGATCACTTATGTAAATTAAAAACAGCAGTGTTAAAATGCAGTATATGCATGGTTATTTACATGCATTTAAACAGGTATTGATCATTAGATTTTACAGTACTTTTACTGTGAAAAGATCTCTTAATTATGTGAATGGTCATTTCACTAATTACACAGTGTAAAAATAACCCCAGAAGGTGACTACATGTCCAGAACAAGAATGTGTTTTTTGTATTTTCTTTACTTACTTCAAAGAAGTTAAACATTCATTGCAGCATGTATTCTTTATTAATTATTTATCACTTAAGTAAATACATTCTTTTTTGTATTGTATTGGGGTGAAAAATCATGGGTATGTCAATGTTATACAGCAGGGTTTAAGTAAAGTGTTAACAAAATGTCTTACTTGCACATAACTTTAAGTAGCAAGCAAACCACATGACATTTGCGTGAAACATGACATATGAGATTTATTATTACAGCTGAACATACCTTCGCTTGTGGTTTCCATTGTTTTACGTTGAAGATTCTGAAGGGAGAAAGGCAGAGAGAAAGAAAAAAAAAGATACAAAAACTATAAAAGACATACAGTTTCATTTAACATTAAGAACAGCATGTCAGTTGTATGGATAATTTCCGCAGAACAATTTGACCTTAGATCTTACAAGCAGTAGATCTGGGAAAAGGAGAAGATTCTCTCTTAAAAGTGTGAAATATGTCTATTGATCTTTTATTTCCATTGCATCCGATGCAGACCCACTGTTCTATGATGCTTCCAGTCTTGTGTTATGTAACTAGATAGGGAATTCATCATGGTCTGCAAAACATCTCAGTACTTACACTACCTAGACACTCTCCATTCCACTGAAGAGGAACACTCACTGCAGTAAATAAATCACCCTGTGCTGATTAATACACACCGCAGTTCACCAAAAAGAGTCCATACACATACACAATTTTAGAAAAGGTAAACTCTAAATTCAGGCACTGCACTCTATATTCTTACACTATGCACAATGTCCTTTTCTCTCTAGAGCCTGGAACTTTGTAGTGTAGCATCATCTTAGTCTGAACACTAAAGAGATATCGTGCAGTATATCACATAAATGGCTTGTGCCTAGGTCAGCAGTTAGCTTATGTAAGCAAGCTAAAGTTAGCTATAACATGCCTAGTTACTGTCATAGCATTTTGAAATCCCTTATGCTGTGCCCATATCATTTGGTCCTGATGCAAAGACCATGCAGATGAAAACAGCTGTAGGCCGACTTGTGAATTTTAAAGAATAATACAAAATCTAATGGCTAATTTCATTTTTATGATTAACAAATGAACTAAAAAGGAACAAAAAGATGATTTAAGCCAACATTAAAGACGTTAAAAGAGCTCCTGATTGAGAAATCTGTCAAAATGAGTAAATCTGTAGTAAACCTGAATGATAAGGAAGATATTTATTTAACTCATTTATTGGAGATATCAGGAGATGGAATTTTGTTGCTCTTTGACCTATGAACTATTGATACTTCTCCACAGTGCTTACACAGTGGGCTTCAAAACTACCATGTTTAGCTGTGATGCTGATACCATGTCAAAAGCTTTTTCTTACTTTGATAGTATTAGTCCATTTGCAAAAAGACTAACTGAGCACAACAAAGTTAAGTATGCATTTGGTAATGGTGTGTGATTCCTACAGTCATATGCAAAAGTTGGGGCACCCCTGGGTATATTACAAGTAATTTGAGAGGGGGGTGTTCAAACTTTTACTGTATTTTACTGTATGACTGTATATACAAATTACTCGCTTTGGTCCTTCACCTGAAAGCAAATCTTAGATATTCTTTCACTGTCCCAGATTTGTTTGCAGTTTACATTCAAAGCTGAGCCACTCCCATTTTATTTCCGCATCTTGATCAGTGTGGCCTGTTGCCCCGCCATTACGGTGCCTCCAGACTTTGGCAAAAAAAACATATCTTGGTAAATCTGGAGAGCACTATAAATAGGGGTTGATTTTTTAAAACATAAAAAGATCAACATAAAACATCTCAAAACATAAAAGCTGAAGGCTTTTACAAAGTTAACGTAATGACACAGAAAACACATTTCTCTTGCTTCACTGAAGGCTTTAAGCAAAAAAGTCATTGTCGACAGATGATTCTGAAAACTCCTACCTTTTCACTTCTACACTTCTGATGTCCGTAGAACTTGAGATGAGATACTGATGTCGGTTTAGACTCTCCTTTTGTTTTCACTACTCATGCTGCAAATAATGTGAAGAAAATAACATGTTTTCTACACTCCTCTGTGCCCACAGCACTGCAGGAAGTAACCTCAACACTTACTTTCACCGGATGCTTTTGAACATCTTACTCAGGGCAGCACATGTACTATTCCCACCCCCCACTCATTCTTCAGAGTGGTACATCATTCAAAAACAAAAAGAATAATTATTTGATTATAAGAGATAATTTTGCTAAAGCTATAGGTTCAATAAACTAAAAACTTTCATGTTTGAGAGTGTAGAGTGTTGAGCTGCGTAGATAGACCGTACGTTTTAGAGTTGTATTAATGAAGACTAGTAAGTCTTTTCATTCTGTCTTATTTCTGGCTTAAATTGTATCAACAGAAACTGAGTAAGCACCCTCATTTCTCCAACTGAGCTGCTGCTGTAAGAGGCCTAATTTATGGGAGCTGTGGCACCCCCTTGTGTTCACATACTTGAACTGAACTTCAGCTTGCACTGAAAAGCAAAGCAGTTTTGCATTAGTCCAAATCAGTGGACCCTGTAAAGCTTTTATTGATCATGTTTGAACATCTGATCATCTCATGTTAGCTACACAGCACAGAGTGTGATTCTGGGAGTAAGACCCTTCCACCAGTAGCCACTAAACTTTAGTATGCCCACCCTTCCATTTTTCCAAAACTCTTCCCAGTGCGCTAAATATGAAGGTTCGCAACTGTAAATAAAATTAACAGTATGCTGTCAGAATAAAATGGTACTGTGTAAAATGAGAGTGTGTATTGTAAATGTGTATTGTAACTGCATCGCATACATTGATCAGGAATTATGGGACATAGTAACATCAGAACAGTCTCTGCACTCTTAACAAAAAAAGGGCCCTAAATAGTATCAAAAAAAGTTTGATAAGGTGACCCAATTTTTTAAATGAAAACTGGGTACATTTCCAGTCTGGTGGTCAATATATCATTGTAAAACATCCAATGTTTTTATTTATTAAAACACTATAGGGGGGACAGTTCCAGCCTACATGCACACAGTGCAAGGAGAGAGAGTAAGACACTGCTGCCAGAGGAGTTGCTGACTGAGATTGATGTTAACGTTACTCTGAGCAGCATGCATGGGAATAAGTTACAATACTCCTATAAAAGATTTAAATTTCTTGCTTTTGAGATCTGTTACTCATCACTTTTTAGAAATAAAGTCACTAAGTAAAAAGGTTCTCCGAAATCACCAAGTCTAGCGGCTTAGGCAGAGATTAGGCAGGAATACATCTATCGCAAAAGATTCAGTGGTTGTATTAGCCCATAATTCATATTCATAGAAAATATTTTGGAGTAAATCCATAAACAAAACCCTGGGATAGCTCCAGTTCTGGAGAGACAGAGACGGCTGCTATCAACATATTGGTACAGGACGGCAGGGAGGCGGACCCAAGTGCAAAAGATGAAAACCCATGAGAAAGGGTGTTAAATTAATTTATTGAGGCAAAGGAGTGTGAATTTGGCACATTGGAGTTGAGGTGACCCAGAGCCAACACCTCAAGAAACAAGAAATAAAAAGATGGGAAAAAGGGCAAACAAAGGGGACGCTGAAAGCAGCATGCTCAAACAAAGGCTGAACTAGAAACGTGAAATAAGAGATAATCAGAATATACAAGTTACTTCCTCTGTGATTATGAGGGGAAGGCAGACTTTGTTTCACTTGTTTGCTCTTAGTGGAGCAAACACCTTTTGTATGGCTTGGAGCCGTTTGTAGCTCAAGTCTTCTTGTGGTTTTTAAGTAGTTTTGGGTCAGTTTCTCTCTTTTGTTTTTTCCAGCCCTCTTTCCTTTTCTTTTCTTTTTGTTTGAATACTCACCTGGGCTGTGTACCATACCGGTCACCTCTCTACAAAGGTGTGACAAAGGGCTGCTGATTGCCACAGCCTCAAGTAGAGGAGTCCACAGGTTGGACCTAATCAGCCTGAGGGCTTCTGGAAATTGGAGTTCCCTGAAGTTATGGCACCTCTGCTGGTGGCGGCGCAGGCTGGGCCCTTACACATATGCTCTCTATTTCATACGTAGATGGCTGAAAAAGTGACAGTTTAAAAAATGACGCACTATTTGTAGATCGCATGGTAGCCAACATTTAAGTAGATTGTATGCCTATACAAATCAAATAGAGTACCTATCAGCTGGTGGTACAACTCAAGTCCCGCAAGACCACCCCTGCTTTTAATCTCTGGGTTACCTTGTGTCTTGACAACATGTTATGTGGTGATGTTATGGGCTCACTTGGCACAGGCTAGCTTCTCGTTGGGTTTTATACAGCAGTATTCACTAAAACTAGGAGAGCAAGTGATAGAAAACAAGCACAATGCAACATGTCTACCTGTCTGCTGTGCTTCAGACCTCCTTGTTTTTCCTAATAGAACTGAAAGCATGCTAACCTCTGTGACTTTAAAAGATGTGATGTGATCGTTTGGAGCACTGAGTTGATTAACGGAATTCTACCAGTATTGATTTTTTTGCACCTTGCACCTTTTTCCACCACTCTAGTACATACTGTAGTATACTCTAGCTAGCTAGTAAACTGTGTATATACACCATCTTATCTATACTTACTGAGCACATTATTAGATACACCTACCTTGTATTTAACTTATTGACAATTGTATCAGATCCATTTACCATATAGATACATTTTGTAGTTCTACAATTACAGACTGTAGTCCATCTGTTTCTCTGCATACTTTGTTATCCCTACCCTGTTCATCAATGGTCAGGACCCCTGCAGGGCTACCACAGAGCAGGTATTATTTGGGTGAAGGATCATTCTCACCACTGGAGTGACAGTGATGTGGTGGTTTTGGTGGTGTGTTAGTGTGTGTTGCACTGGTACAAGTGGATCAGATACAGCAGTGCTGCTGGAGTTTTTAAAACACATTAGCATCACTGCTGGACTGAAAATAGTCCACCAACTAAACTGTGGGCAGCGTCCTGTGACCACTGATGAAGGACCAGAGGAAGACTAACACAAACTGTGCAGCAGCAGATGAGCTACTGTGTCTGAGTTTACATGTACAAGGTGAGCTCACAAGGTAGGAGTCTAATAATAGAGTGGCCAGTAAGTGGACACAGAGTTTAAAATCTCCAGGAGCACTGCTGTGTCTGATACTGGATGATGTACGCTTTGACATTTTCACTTGCAGCTTTTGTAGTAAAAGAGCATTATAAATACTAAATTCACAGACCACTGAGGACAATGATAATTTTTTTTTATTTATTTATTTATTTTTTTTTGACTTTGGAAATGGGTAGGAAATGATGTACGCTATTGTGCTCTATCGGGGACAGGATCTCATTTCAAATACAAATTCAAACACTGCCACACTGATAAAGAAATATGGGCTTAAAGCAATAGCAGATGAAAATAGTTGCTAAGCAGTGACTGGAAAATAATGCTGAACTTGAACATCTCACAAAACCTGGTTATACAGCATATCATTACAAATCCAAAGTTATCAAACAGTACATGATCCTGTGGTTTGCAGCTACATATCCAAAACAACGTTTCAGAGCAATGTTCAGAGAAACGCACTGCTTTCAAGCATTAGGTATAACATGGCTTGTAATAATGCAAAATGACTCACTAGTGACGTTCACTGCTCGAAAAGAAAAGATGCACGATGATCTTTCATCTGGGCAAACTTGTCAAAACCTTTTCTCTCAAAGTCCACCAATCCATGAATGAATTCAATTAATAGCATAGCAAGTGCAGGCAAGGAAAGCAGAAGAGTGTTTTTAGCTACACTCACAGTTAGCCATGTTTTTCTCTTGAACTTCTCTGGATTGAAGAAGATTTTGTCTTTTCCTGACTGAATGATGTTGAAATCCTCTGGCTGGTGTGGTTACAAATGTTTAATTTTGAGCATATCAGGTAAAAACTATCAAAGCACTATCAAAGAGCAGGTAATGATCTGACAGTTTTCTTTTCCAAGAAGTTGTTAAAAGCACATATTAGAAGCCTTTTGCCCCCTGCTTTACTAAAGTTTCGGGTTACTTTATTATTCCTGCACTATGGCTTCTGTGGTTTGTGTGTGCTCGAGGCAGAAACCTCACTGCCATTGCTTCATGCACAGCATGTAGGTAAGAAGTTATGCTCAAAATCATACAGCTTTCAAATGACCTGGGTGCGCTCAGTGAAATTAAACCAGGCTTACAAATGCACTCAGCACAGAACTTAAGTTCAGCTCAATCCAACAGTCAATAATGAACATGTCAAAGTAAAAATGATCTAATTTCCTTGAAATTCTGATGAGTAGACGTCTTTTTTTTTTAAATAATTACTCATGATGTTGAAATTACCACATTTTTGGCAAGTAATAGGTCATTGGTAAGGTATTATTCTATACTATAATATATATATATATATATATACACACATATACACACACACACACACACACACACACAAATAAATTATGGTTGTTTTTATTGCATAAAACCAACATTCACTGGACCTTAAGGAGAAAAATAAAATACAATGTAGTACAAAACACTACGTACTGTATTAAATGTAGCACAGGGCTATTTGAGAAATGTGTAGTAAAAGTTACCACACTCACATCACACGTTCAGTTCGCATCAGCCTTACATTATTAATTGTCAATTGCACTGGTTTCCTGGCTAGAGAACTATTTGAACTTCTTTAATGCTTTAAATTTGAATTTAGTGTTAAGTTCACTCCAGATCACACAAGAAACATGGTTACTTCTACACTCATGAGAAAACAGTTAGATTCACCACTTGTTAGTGGTTGTGGGGCAAAAATAGAAGAAGGACAAAGTGTGGTATCTACATGTGGCTAGTGTTCATGCTAACCAAAAGAGTTTTTATGTACTGTGTGTGTGTCGCTCCATCACTGTGGGTGTAGTTTTGTAGAGCATTTGGCGTGGAGGGTCTGTGTTGATTTGGACTATGGAGATGGAGCAGAGGTGTTTTAATGTGTATGATGATGACGATAGAAGAGAAAGCCCAACAGACAGAACTGAGGACATCTATCAGTGTCTGCAGTATCCTTCAATTGCACCACGTACACAACCGAATGAA